TTAGCAGAAAACATAACATCACAAATAAGAAACTATTAATAGAAGCTTCTATGTTCATACTCTAAATAATTATTTGGACTGTTCTCAGTAGAAACATCTCACCGATGACATTTTTAGCCCGACACATTTCTGTCTCCAACGCTTTCATTACACCAATCATGTTTAAGCTCATGTGTCTGTTTGTTCATGACGTTGGCTCTGTCAGTCATTAGTCAGAAACAATGATGCTCTCCTCGGCTTGATCACCTCATGTGCATCTCAGCTGTGTGATCGCGCAGGCTTCTTCAGAGCCCAACGCGATGCTGGCAGCATGGGGGCGTCGGCTGTATGAGATGCAGACACAAACTAGAGCTGACAGGCGCTGCAAGCCTAAGGGGAGCAGAAAGCAGTGGGCAGAGAACCATAAGCTACTCTCTGGCTTTGCACTTTGTTTCCTACTCAGACATCCACCTTGAAGACCTCGCTCGGTTGGCTACAAAAGGCTCAGGGCAGCTTAAGGGGAGATTTGAAGGGGATAGCAATGAGAAAACATAGCTAATCCTTAAACTGAGAGGAAAGATTTACAGCAAAGGAAACAACTTTTTACAGTGCAATCAGAAAAAAGTGACTTTCCTATTAGAAGCTGTTGTGCTGGTGAGACTCATTTTTTGTGTTCAATCAGGGTTAAGATGTCCCTCAGCTTTACAGTAAGAAAACACTCTTCCCCTCTCCAGTTTGGTGAGAGATTGTAAAGTGTTGCATCCCCAGAAGCATTTGGATTAAGGAGCCGCCTAAAAACTGCAGCCCAACCCGCAGAAAACAACCTGAAGTGCTGGAGCTGATCCTTGGCACTCCTATTGATTTCTGTTGATCACAATCTTATTTGGCAATTTAAATGCTAATGATACTTTTAATTGCAAGACGGGATAAATGTGATTTGATCTTTAGGAGGCAATTACTTTCATGCTTTGTCTAGCTCCAATCTTTTTCAGAAGGCGGACAACAATTACTCTGCACAACTCAGATTTCCTTCTTTGCTTGCAAAAGAAGAAAGAGGGGGAAAGAATGAAACAAGCAAAGTGTTTCTTTTGTGTTCTTTGACAAGTTTATCAAAAAATTATTTCTTTTGCTGAGGAGAGAAGCTTAGCTTCCAAAAACACTTTACAGCCATACATCCACTCGGTTCCAGTGTGTTTTCAACATAAGACATTGTACACATACGTACTCCGATATACAAAAAAAAAAAAGACGAGGATTGCCCTAGACACTTGAAACGCATGTAGCACATTCTATACAGCAAAAACAAAGCACCAGTTTTATTTACTGACATTAGAAATAAAAGTTTTCAATTGACACCCAGTACATTAACAATTCAAAGACTCACATGAGAGACAATCCTACTTTGGTTACAGCTTAAAGCAAGAGGATGTGCAACAATAATTGACCATTTAGCACATTTAAAAGGTCTTCACATAGTAATGATGACCATCTTACAAATCAAAATGTACACAAGAACAAGTTATATCTCTTGGATTTACTTCTTCCAGAATTATATGTTTTTAAAGGTGCTGCTAAATAACACAACTACTGTCCATCAGTGACTTCAAATGCCTTCCAAAATAATAGCAATGCTCTATAACCCTTTAGTTATTTTCATTGTGGTTGAATGTACTTAATACCTCCCGTCACACTATTGCATATCTGCCTTATACTGTTGTCAGTATGCCGTCTGATACCATAGAGTACATAATTTGATTTCCAGTTAAACTCTCAGATTATTTACTACACACAGGCACAGCTGGTACTAAATTTAAGTAAATGCTACACAAATATAGTAGCAGTCTTTTGATAACTGGAACTAAACTCATTATAAGCCATGCAGATGCTCTGTCTGCGCTGGTGAACATTCACTCAACTAACTTGGCCCTGTCTTCTGAGGCATTATTTAAGCCACTGAGAACTGTAATATTAGACAATCTCGTGACGGTAATATTGTCACTAATTATTGTGATGATGATATTAGTTGCATGGGCCACATAGGGGAATGTTGCCTTGCAGGGAAAAAGGGATTTTTTTCCATAAAGTTTGCAGTTAAACTCCATCAAACAAACTGAAATGTGAATTGGTGAAACTTGGTAATGATAGCCAATGACGCTGCATCTAAACAATATTGTCTGATATTAATATTGCACAAATTGATATCATGCTTATGATATATTAGTGAGATATCATGCAGCTTTACTGCAGGCAAATCTGGATAAAGCACTGAACTTTAATCTCAATAGGGTCTGTAGAGTTTGGTGGATTAATTCAAGACATTGATAATAGTGATACCAGGTCAGTATCAGATTGATATTAGCATGGTACTTTAGTTTCAGATTCCCTCAACTCTACCTCAGAAAATACATTTTGATTTGTTCTCTGATAATGTTTTGCATTTGTTTGTGTGGGAAAAATGCACAAAAACCATTTTAATATGGTATTAAAGTATTTTGTAGATACTTATAAACTTTGTTCAATTTCTGTTGAAGGTTTGAACAAAAAAAGTAAAAAGGAAAAACCACAAGAATACCTAAAGGTCAGAGGCTTGATGATATACTTAAATAATTAAAAGTATCAGTGTCGGTATCGTTGGACTTACTTGGTGTTGAATTGATACAAAAATGTGCGATACTGCACAAGAAAACAGAAAAAAATGATAAAGTGACTCCACGCCAAAAAACCCCCCACTAAGTTTTCTGCCCTTCATCTGTATGCCAGCATATGTAGCAAGATAAGAAACAGTGTGACAGTAGCTTTATGGTTTTACTCTTACGCAGTTGACAGCATGGTGGAGGTTGGCATCAAAGCAGTTTATACCAGCGAGTATTTACAACAACAAGGAACCAAGCTGTACATCATTTTTTACCCACTTTGCTATAATTGGCTGTGCTTTTCGGCATTTTGGAGGTCATACATCAAGCTCCGGCAAAACGGAGCGATGAACACATTATTGGGAGAACATCGCCTCTGACAGTGCCTATCTATTTTGATAATCAGTTGACTATTGTGCCAGTGTAGCCTCTAAAAGGAGCCCGGTGATTTATTAGGATTGACCAATTTTGAGTCACATCATGTGCTGCTTTGTGAGGGCAAACAGAGGCGTGACTGGCGGTGCAGTCAGGCATGTTATCAAATGCCCAAGCTTGATTAACAGCTCATCAACATGCAGAATTAAACAGTCTGGCTAAACGCTTCCCCTATACCCCGACATTACACACTTGCATAAAACTATGAATCTCTTTACAGTGATCCTGCAGCTAAACAAACGCAACGCATTCCCTTCCTGCACCTTATCAGCATTTATATCATTAGATATTTCAATTAGAACAAGTGAACAGGTTTCTAATATGACACTGAACACGACTGACAACAAAACACACAGAGCGTTTCACCACATTTCACTACATGAAGCAATCCATGCCAAAATTAGTGAGACACAGCAACGGTCACAGTACTGAGAAAACAATAAATCTTGTCATGCAGATTTGATGGGAGTCGTGCACACAAAACGGGAGAAAAACGAGCAGGAGGCAGAGGGAAAAGGTGGACAGTTAAGGATAATATCGTGTCTTATCTTATGTGTCAAAGCTTTAAAGAGACAGTTCACATATTCCATTTTTTGCATAATATCAACAATAGTTCCCAAACCTGCAGTAGAGACATGTAATATCGCAGTGAGTTTGTTGGGAGAAATGTTTAGGCTAACAGACTGACTCCTATTTAGCTAATTTAAGCTACTTTAAACAGCTCAAACTAAAAGTATTTGCTGTCAAAGTATACAGCCTACAATATTAAACATCTGCATGTTTGGAAAGACGGTTGTCCATCAGTGGACTGATAATTAGCAGTTAATAAGAACTGTTCATCCTGTTTCCTCTAAACCAAACTGTTTGCGCTTGGTAACTTAGACCTTGTTCAGCTGAGGTTTTATTTTATATCTTAAGATCCTAAATTACAGAGATTGTTACTTTGAAAACATTCCATTCAACTGATACAAATTTTCCATGGTATGATGCAAATGAGCAACATTAGGCATAGCTGTAGTACCTAAACAAATTCAGCAGTTTTATGCTGTCTATGCTTTGAATTTGAATTACAACATACGTTTATGTTCAAACCTTTTCCATTGCAGCTTAGTACTCAAAATCGCAAGCTGATGCAGTTTCTACTCTGACTGCTAGATGGCAGTAAAAGGCTTCAAATACAGTTCTCTGTATGTGCAGGATCTCCATTAGCATGCACCTTAGTATCAAATTTTCAACAATATTCTGCTTGGGGCCATTTTCATGTGATCTTATTAGATATAAAGTATTTTGTAAAAGAATGAATGCTTAACGTCTGTATCCAACGCATGAAATCAAACCAGCTTGAGGTTTGTGACCAAAATTAGCCAAAATGTGAAATCTGCCTTTCTTTCCTTTTCAACAGAGGTACTGCGATATGTCACGTTTCTAGTACAGGTGCCTCACTTTAAAATACAAGCTGTCCCTTTAAAGTCTCAACTTTGATTAAGAATTTTACATCTACTTTAAAATCTCCACTCATCCTGTTTGTTCCTATTCAGCTCCGTGAATCTGATCAAGTGGAGCTGGACGCTTCATCTTTTTAATTTTGATGAGGTTTAATTAATCTTGGAGCTGCTTTTAATCAAGCTTCATTTTCTTGCATAATTGTTTATCAAAAGGCATTGCCGTTATTTCATGGAGCTGGATATTTTCTGTTTTTTCTTTTCTCCTGCGTCAAATGGAGACGCATGAGTTCAGAAGTCTTTATAGATGCTTCAAAACAAATCTCTTATTAACACATCAAGTCCAGTGCTTCTGAGTCGTGATCGATGAAAGTTTGCAGCTTTCAGCGCTCACAATGGCGTGCTCAAATACGTCACTTGCAGGCCGCCGTTACATGCAGGCAGCAGAATAGAGGATCCAGGAGGGCAGGGGTCGGCAGGGGACAGACTGGGGTCAGGTGCCTCTACTTTCCTTGTGGGGGACTCTGGCTTCTCTGGAGCCTGTGTCACACAACTATCAGCAACAGCAGCAACAGCAATGCTGAGGGAGTGGAGTGGGAAACAAAGAGCAGTTACTTCAGCGTCAGAGCGAGACAGAAAGATAGATTAGCAAGGAGGGAGAAAGAGACAGAAAGCAATGGGGGCGGTAAGAGTCTGTGTGATTCATCTCTCTTGAAAAAAAAAGAGCTGCTGAGAGGTAGAGAAGTGGGGTTTCTGGGTCATTGTGGGTTCAGAGTTGGACATGCAGCATTTTTGGTCTCCAGGTTTCAGGTGGAAACCAAAAAGCTGCCAGAGTGGCTTGTGACTGCCAGGACGGCTTCTAATATTCTCCACAATCTCGACTTCCAGGCTCATAAAGGCTCTCCTGTCCCCTCAGCTCGGTGCTGCACCGTCCCAATCGTGAAGCTTAGGCAATTTTACCAGTCCATTCCCACATCAGAGTAATTTTCAAGGGAACTGGGTTTGCATCTTGAAAATGCACTATTTGCCCAAGTGCATCATGAAAAAAACTTGGCAACCTCTAAGCTATCGGTCGTGCCTGTGCATCTCTTTCTTTCTTCAGCTAGTCGTTGCCAGGGTTTACACACTTTGAGATAACTGAAAAAGTTAATTTAGATTTTTGCAGCTCTGTTGCTCGTTGTTCTCTCTGTTGCACCCAGTGGTCTGTTTTCCTCCCCCCTGTGGACGGGCAGCAGCTGGCAATGTTCAAAACTGTCATGGCCCCTTGGTTTGCAGGCACAACAAAATTACCTAGCTGGCTGGAGGTGGAATTGCAGAAGTAAACAACAGTGTTCCCTCAATCTGCCTTCAACAGCAGTTTCATAAGAGTAATTGATTCTGCAAAGGAAATCAGTTTTTCTTTCCTTTTCTGCAGAAAATGTAAACTTTCACAACATTTAATTTACTGGGTTGGGTCAAATCAATATTTAAATCGGTATGCACCGCATCGTTGGTAATGCTAACAGCATGGATTTTATCCATGCTCGTTTTCAGATCGCTCATCTGCTGAAATAGATTTCAAATAAAATTTATTTGCAAAATGTAATGATGTGCATGCAGATAAAATTAACTCCCAGTCCAGCAATAAACTAAAAAGCTATGAGAAGTCAGCTTGTCGTGTGATGGTATAATAAGCATCCGATGCAAGCTAACCTCTCTTAAGAAGAGACTGCAGAGTCTGTTACTGCAATCAGTCCTGATTAAAACAATGGTGTTTCAGGCCCACATTATAATCAGGAAGCTTCTTAGAAGATATGATCATTGATTCTATCTGCTCTTGAAAATGAATATGATTTTTTTTTCACTCATTTCTGAGCACGACTGTAATTACATTACGTTTCACCCCGAGATGCAAAGGAAATGAGATTATTGACTTCTAGAATAAATGAGATGGAGGCGGGGAAACACATTGGAATCATGTTCTGTCTGACAACAGTTCAGATGAAAAGGAGTTTTACTTTCGTCACCCGACAAGAGTGCCCACCTAATCTTACAACCTGTCCGGCGTAACCCCCCCAACCCCCCCCCAGTAATATTCTGGCTTTGGTACTCACAGGTCATTATCTGTCTCTGTGCGGGTCTTCTGCTGCCGCCGATGGACCATGAAAACAGTAACAGCCACACCAATGATGAGTCCAATGGCAACAACACCTCCAAGGATCCCGATAACACCACCTGGGGGACCCTGAGGCATTGGCTTCTCTGCAGACAAGAGAAGAAATGACAGTGTCAGCCTGGGTGTTCTTTGAGTAATTGATGGTGCTAGGTTGTACTTGGCAGAAAGGAGGCAGGAAAAGAAGCTGGCGGTGGGGAGGAAGTGGTGGGATTAATGCCACATACTGCGCCTTGCAAAAGTATTCACATCCTTTTAGATGAGGAGTGTCCAAAGTGTAGCACCTGGACCGCTGCTGAAGTAAAAATACTGTTGGGTACAACAAAAAATATGACATTTTTTAAACCAGGTTTCTGCATTTATTTGAGTTTTCTAGTAAATATAACCAGAGTGGCCATTATCCCATTATTGTTGCTGAGCTAAAATTGGAAAAGGAAAATAAATCAACCTCAAAATGTCAGAAATTGTGTATCACTTTAAACAGTTGTGAAATACAGATACAATTTTACAAATAACTTTTCTACAAAAATCGATTTTATTCATTTCAATGCTGCTGTTGAGCAGATAAAATAGAATTTTAACTTTATTTAAAGAAAAAATATGATTTTCAACTTAATTTTGGGCACTACTCCTTTACATATTTGACACTTTGTTACATTACAATTGGAAGTGGAAGAAAATTCATGGTTTTATATATATTTTTTAACCATTAAAAATCTGAACAGTGTGATGTACATTTGTGTCTAAATTTGACTCCAGTGAAGTTAAATGAGTTCAGATTTTTAGAAAGAAGTAAACAGCCATTCTGAAACACCTGAACACCTGTGCAATGCCATAGACCTTGAAGGATATTTTACAAAAAACATTTTTTATAGAATTTCAGCCCTGCAAACCTGTTGAAACCATGTCAACATGGAAACAGAAGTGCATTTTAAAAGAACGAAACAATGGCGTGTCCCGAAAGGAAAATCTCTGCAAGCCATTTGACACAGCTTTTTCCGGCTTCAGTCTTTGTGTCATGAAAACACATCCAAATACTATTTTCAGACACTTATTTCAGTGTGAAAATCATTGTCCTGCCTTTCCCTGGCGCTGCATGAATACCACATGGCTGTGGTCATTCAGCAGCTGCTGTCGCTGCTGCATTTTTAATGCGCGCTCCATCAACTGTTCCAAAGAAGCCTGAATTGGCTCAGGCTTGACAGTGAACCCAAAATGGACTCTTAAGTGCATCACAAAGCTATTATATTTTGAACTTCCTGCCATCCCTGAGGTACAAATGCAACATGTATTTCCAGCATTGCACTTGAACAATGGGCCTCATTCTGCTGAATGAGAAACATGTAAATGTTGGACTGTCACTTTAGCTGATTGATGGGGGAGGCAGAGGGGTCCAAACCAATGTGGTAAACATTGCAGATTGTTGATGTTGCTCTGCGCACCTTGTTTCCCGTGTTTGTACTGTTGATAAAGTAGAACATATTCATTTTGGCACAGGAACTGCAATTATACTCCAAAGATTGATGCAGTTTGTTTTGCAGAAGCTGAGCTCGTCCAGGACTTCATCTTCACATTACATTTAGATGTATAAAGGTTTCTAAAGAGCCTTTCAAACTTAATGACCCACATTAGGGTTGGGAAATATTAGAACATGTTGACATTCTAATCCTGTGTAACATGAAACTGTACTCTCATGGCTATTTACAGTCACTGGATCTTAATCATGTTTAGCTTTCTAGGATGTGGTGGAAGATTGAAAATCAAACCTGCACAGTGTAACAAGATCATATCACACAAGATCTCAAGATATTAAAATACCAGAATGTTTCTCATTGAAGTGACTGCGATCTTGTGAGCACTAGCATGCCTTTGATTGATGAAATTGAAATAGAAAATGCCAGAACTACTCTTAAATAGCTTGTTTGCCACCATTTTGGGTTTGCAGTAGGAACCATGAACAACAACAAAGTGACAGAAAAGACACAAATGCTATGCTGCGTTCACACCAAACCCATCCGACGCTTCATGTTTGACACACGTGCACTCTGAATGCAAACCTTGACATTTTGCTCTACACCCCGTGTTTTGCACATCTGGTTTACATTCATAGTCGACGTGGAGGCGTGTCGCGGGCGCGTCAGGCACGCTCCATTCAGAAATCGCTCTCGCCATTGTTTTCCGTTGCTGGCCTATTTGTTGGACGCTCCAGATCGCACATATATCCTACATATATTCTTCACTAAGAGCTGTGCTTTAACATAAAGAAGCATCAGTTCAGCTGTTATTGTGATTTTATACAAAATGCTGGAAAGATCTGGAAAATGTTGGTAGTTGTTTCAACTAACTATGCAGGAAGAAATTGCACAAAACACTGTTGATTTCACCAACTCAAGTGCTATAACTCCAAATAGAGATGAATATGATTAGCACAAATATTAAAAAAAGAAGATCTGTTGTCTCTTCGATAAAAGGCTAAATTACAGAAGGCCTCGCGGGAATCTCTGTTGTTTTTCAGCCGATGTCAGGTGCTACAAAAATAGAACAGTCGTCGCCTCTTAGAGCCATAATTAATTTTCTTTCCTTCAGGAAAACAGCTCTGGTGTCTGTTTTCTTTGACAAGAGCAGTTGAAGCTGCCAGGGAACAATCATCGGCTCGGAGAAAATTCTCACCAATTTGAAGAGGAAAGCCTATCTGCTGCCCTCATGATGTCTCCATTATTATCTGCACGCCCCTCCCCGTAGCGACAGGACAAGGCCTCGCTCCCAGGGGGCCTCTTCTCGACGGCCTCCGCTCGGTTGATTCACCACTCATAATGATGGATACACAGAGGACTACTTCACACACAGCCGAACAATGGCAGGCGCGTTAGCCCACCTTGTATCCAGCAGCACTCACTGCCACAGCCAGTGACTATATATCATGTCTATCAGATTGTCATGCTACGGTTGCCTTGGCTGATCTAATTTTCTGTCATATTGTTCCTGAAAGGAACATCATGTCAAACCTTGCAGTGGAAGAAAGTAAATAGTTATTTTTGTAGCTACAAAAATACCAAAAAAAAAAAAACTTTTTTTTTTTAGTTATTTCAGTAAAAAGTAAAGGCAGTGGAGTGATTTGGAAGAGCGAGTGTGAATGTGATGTTGCAGCAAGGGAACAGATAAGCCAGAACTCCCACTGTTGTCTCATCGCGCTACATCATGAAAGCCAGTGGGCTGAATTTCATGCCACTAATGCAAATGCCAGACACAATAGTGTGTTGTATAACACTAATACACAGAGGAGAGGACTGGATCAGAATGCAATTTCCCTCGTTGTGGAGCCGTAGGCACGGGATTTACACTGTCACCTCCTTACACATGAAGTTGGGGGAGCCATCTGCTGCACAGCCTGAGCTCCTTGGCTGCTTCCTATGTAGCTGGAGAAACATCAAAAATTCAAGCTTTTATTTTCTGGACATGAATTCCACATTAAAGCATCTCACTCATCAAGGTTTCTTTTGTTATTTTTTTCATGTTTGACCACCAACTAACTAAATGTCACAGCTTTAGGTGTGGATAGTGAAAGATTTGTGTGCAGGAGTAAACATGAGAGCACATGCACCACGGCGGCGCTACTGAACCGGATTGTTCCATAGAGTACAGCTTCCTTATAAAATGACAGCCAAAAGTTTGCATACACAGTTTCCAATAATGAAAGTTACATTTGTGCTTCTCATTTTACATTTGAGCTAAAATATTTTTATGGTGGACTGATGGTGAAAATATATTCAAGATATAAGATTTGAGTACACAAGTTTAGTTTTTCAGTGTGATACTCTGGAGTTAAGTGATAGAAAACACAAAAATAAACAGAAATTGATTTTCCAATATGATTGCAAACATACATCTGAACTTACGTTGGAATATTTCAAGCATGCTAATAAAGTTGCATTCACAGCTGATGTAGTAAACTCAATTTGACTGGGCTTTCTTTTGCAAAATTTGTTACATTTTTAACTGGTGCAGTTCGCTTAAAACTTAAAAAAAGCTAAAAACAACAACAACAACAAACAAACCGTTTGAAAATCCTGTTTACTCCTTCACCTGTGGTGGCGCTGCACCAAAAATCGAACCAAAAGCAAAAACCACAGAAGAAGACACTGAGCAACTTCCTTCTTCAATACAAACAGAGATGGAGTGGATTTTGGTGGTACATTTTTCAGACTTTTGATTTCAGCTTCACACAGAATACACAAAAATATACTGAATTTTATTTTGTAATTTGAAAATATTTAATGAAGACTCTTTTTTTCTGCTACTGATAAGAAAGTGAATTTAGGAAAACAAGAGCTACGGTACGCATTTTGTCGAATCAAAGTTGTAAAATCAAACACAACTTTGACAGTCTTGAATTTTGAAAGTTGACAACTTCCATAAAATCTGACCAAAACATTGTTTAAAGGCAGCTCTTCAAATGCTGAATGTCTCACGGCTGCCACTGAAAGGCTGCTATTGATTTACAATAAGTGTAAAGCACCCGTCCATGGAGCCACTCTCTCTCTCTCCCTGTGTGTGTGCCGCCTGTCCAGCACTGTGTCAAATCTAAGATGACAAACCTGACCTTGGGTTTTTGTAGCTCCAGCTCCCTCTGATGTGGTGGCAACCTTCATTGTCACTTCTACTCCCCAGTGTTCATTCAGCTGTACCAGATGTATGAGCTTTGTTTTTTTTTTTTTTCCCGCTGCTCCGCAGGATTCAGACTCAGAGTGGCATCACCGGCCTTCATGCGGTCCTTTGTCAGCTCCCATAGCCTTTGTAGTATCCACTCACATCAGCTGGTGGCTAACGAGGAATCAGATTTCCCTGACTATTCATCAAGACAACATCAGAAAGCAACAGGTGTGCTTCCAGTCTGTGATTTTCTGTCAAGATTTTTTATTCTGACTATAAATACATTGTCCTGCGAAGCAAGTTCTACTCCTTCATTTTTATATTTCATCACGTCATAATTGGAGTAGAATGTAGTGAATTATTGTGAAGGGAAACAAAAGTGACACATGGTTTTCAGAGCTGCTTACAAATGAATATCTTAAAGAGTTTGTGTAAACAT